ATAGTGATGTGTTGACAGCTCTGACGGCTGAGAGGTGCAGAGCTGCGTATCAGTGATAATGTCCCATTTCCCTTCTGTGCTCTTCCTCTCTTTTATTACAGCAAATTGCATATTTTTTTGTAATTTCACCTCCCTTCAACCTGGTCTCTGTGTGTCTGTGTTTGAAAGAATTTGTTCGACTCCAAAATCAAACATTTTGAATAATTCAGCGGTGAGTTAGCAGCTGATTGGTTTCTAAATTGATTCAAGCTTGTTGGTGCTCAGGGTTTGGTTTTGTGTCTTCTCCTGAGGCGGAGCCATCTTATTCATTTAAACCAGGGGAGAAAATGTTGCTTTTATTAAAGCAGCATCTTAAAGCCACGTTGTCTGAACAGATTTAACCGTTTCACTTCTTCCTCTTTTTGCATTTTGACTTTCTGCAGAGAATCGCCGTGCAGCGAGGCGGCTTATCTGCACAGATCGCGCTGTTTGTCTTCTTATCCCTGCAAACAGATGTCTTAGCATCAGCAGGCTAATTTATAAGAGCTGATTTAAACAACATTCGGAGTTTGTGAACGCTCTTTATCACGCTGACCGGCGAGCCTCCCGTCAGTAATTATAACTGGAAGCAGGAGTTGGACGCACTAATTCAAGCGAGATCTCTAAACACCAGGCGGTGATACTTAAAGTCCTGACAGTGTTTAAAATTAGAGCTGCAAATCATGTTAATAAATTCAGGTGAAAACCAGCCTGTGAATGCAGCCCTGTGTGGCGTCGATAATACAACAAACGGTAAGAAACTCGGAGACAATCAGCTTCTGTTACTAAGCTGTTCAGAATGTTAACGTTGATCATTTTTATTGTTCTCATTTAATTTAGGCAGATTAAAGACTCAGAGTTAGTGAAACTTTGAAGTTTTATTGGTTTATCTTCTACGAAGTCCTTCCCTCATCCTCTGAGAAAAGCATCTCTTTCCACTAAACCATCCAAAAAAGAAAGGTTAAAAACAAAACAACTGGTCCAAGAAACTCCAATTGTTTTGTTTTTTTAATCTTTTGTTTGGGGATTAATCATGACCTGGATGACTGAGAATCTTCACTGCACTAAACTATCAGTAAAGTTTGGTTTATACCTGAAAACGTTGTGAGACAGTGGATCGCTGATTACGTAATTTAGGATGTCTTTTTCTGAAMATGCATTGGGGATAAATTATCATAATTTCTCCCTCTGCCCTCCCAAYCTATCACAGCTCATAGCTTAGCATAGAAACTACAACAATGATAGCAGGATAAATGTTTTGTTCACTCAACTGTGTGTCAATGTTGTGTTGGGTGAGGGGAGTCCCAGGAGGAAAAACTCTTTTCTTTTGAAAGTGTGAACGGTGGCTGCTCGTAATTTAACAAACGTCTTCTGGGAACGGATCGTTCTCAGAAAAATGACCTGCAGAAGGACGCGCTGCACCACACGACGGGGAGAACAAACTAAAGTTACACAAATTTTCTGTCACTAACAGCGTGAGCAAAACGTGCGACTTGAAGTATCAGCCTTAATTTAATGGTCAAAAATGAAAAATCTGGGCCACAGAAGGGCCGTCATTCTTTGCGTTGTTAGTGTTAGTGCACTGTGTGGGTCAGAACTGGGCTAGACAAATTTTTCTAAGTAGAGGGGAAAGCCCGTTTAAAGATTCAAAAAGAGGTTAAAAAGTTTTAAATGGATCAGTAATCAGTGCAGGGATTTTAAAACTGGTGTAATATGATCAAATTTCTAGTCGCGTTCAAACGTCTGAGCAGCACAACCTGGTCTTTAACAGAGAAGTGGTGCTAAATTGTTAATTATGTTTCTTTGTACGACACAGAAAACAACAAGACAAACAGTTTATTCTGCAAAAACAACGACATGAATAATGAAGCTTCAGATGTGCGTCCAGCTCACTTAGAGAAGAAATATGAAGCAACGAAGTTTCGTTCGCAGGACCRGAAATAAACACAAAAACGAACAGAAGCTTGTCTTACAGGCACTAAATCCTGATCAGCTTCAAAGAAACAGATGTCAGGAGTATTATTCACGATGTTTGAGCTGTGCAGAGCAGAAACACCTCAGCAGTCATTACTGAGCAGCATGTGGTTGGAGATTCTGGCAGGTTCAATCCTTCRAAATCCTGCAAAACCTGCAGTATGAAAATAATTCTGCTGTATTTGACTTCCTGCTTTCAGAAATGTATATTTACATAAACATGTTGCTGCGACTCTGGAATAAATGTAAGAACTGTATTATAAACTAAATCTTGTTCCTGTGTGCGTGTACCTGGTTTTTATTACCTTGTTAGGATCRTTTCTGAGATAAACAGCTACCTTGTTAGGACCAGTAGTCCTTATGGGGACCAAAGACCGGTCCTTATATGGTGGATTCGTATTGATGGGATAGGGTTAGGACTAAGGTGTGAATGGAGTTTGTTAGGTTTACTGCAGTACATTTAAAATAGTGGGGCACCATTAATTTTTTATTTATGTTTTAAGAACTCACACAATACAATACAGGTATAATAAAAGGTAAAATATAAAAATACTTGTTTTTGTACATAATGCAGGGTTCCTCTGCCTTTATCAGGTGATTATATGCAGAGCACTGGAGCCAGAAAGTCATACAGTGACTTGTACACATTAATAATTAAATATTATCAGGTTCTCACTAGTATTTCAATTCAAGGGTGTGTGTGTGGAAAAAAGTAAGTTCCCTAAGGGAGGGAGGGAGGGGGATATAATAGAAATGACCTGAGAACCAGGGTAAGGCTCAGGGTTCGGCTACAGAACTGACTGGAAATGAATAGAAGTTAATACATGGTCCTAATAAGGATAGAAATACAAACTTGTGTGTGTGTGTTCAAAACTAAAATAAATGTTATGAACAGATGGTGATCCATTTTAATATTAAATAAATAAAATCCCTCATTACCCAACAAAAGATTTGCCTTTTCTCATGTTTCAATATTGCTCTGTTACCATTTGAAATGAAAACGTTTTTTCTTTTTTGTTAGAGATGTCCTTGTTTTTATGAACACGTCTGCCAGTTAGAAGATTAAAAATTGACTGAATAGTGAAATAATTAATAGTTTAAATAGAGTATTTCCCCTCACTGTTGTAATAGTTTGTGGTGCAGCAGCTGCAAACATCGTGTTTACACACAGATTTAGATCTCTGCTGTAGAGCTTCTCTAAGATGTGTTTTCTTTTCTGGTTGCCTTTTTTGATGAATTCCCTTTTTTGGTGGCCCAGTTTTAGCAGTTCGGCTCTTTTAGTGAGTTTATTTTCCTGCCATATTTAGTCGATTTTCTATTTACTTCCTGCCGCTAAAAAAAAAAGAGTAATTATAATGTTTTGCCTGTTCTTTTTGCGTTTTTGTGTGCCCAAAATATCTCATGAACCAGTGGAGTCTCGTCATTATTACGCTCCTGTCTGTGTGGTTCAAACTGTACAAAGAAGTAAAACTTTAAACCACAACCCTGAGCTGTTTTCTTCCACCGTAGTGAAGCTGCTGCATCCTAAACTCTCCACGGTCTGGTTTTTCTGAGCGGCCTCGGTGGGGTTTGCGACCCCCCACCTCGCGGAGCCTTCAGGTTGCAAACTCCATAAGAAAGCCAAAGACGTTACAGGAGCAATGCACCCCCGACACCATGTTCTGTGCTAAAAAAATGATCAAAGCGGGCCAGCTTTACCTCTGAGCGTCCATAACTCAAACACTAATAGTCTAATACTCATGAAAAGATTATGCTTGTTGTTATTGATTTGCCCACCAGGTGTTTGCATAATTCAGAAGCAGCTTGTTGCTGTTCAGCCTTTGAGCTTCACCACACCTCTCCAYACCGCTGGAAATGTTTCAAACTCATGTTTGAATTTGTCCKCACATTWAGATGCATGGATCATCAACAGACATATGATGATGTTCTTGCTGGGCCTGTCATGATGAGCAGTAAATCAATTAATTGAACCATAAATTAAAACTGGTTACCACGTAGAGGTAACATAATGAATGACCCCCGCACGCACGAATGCAGCAGAACTCTGAAGTCTTTATTCCTAATAAATGTCATGCTACTAGGTGCATCCCAAATTTGTAGTGGTTTGGGTGGGGGTCTTTTTTTGGGTGGGGGGTGGACCTGACGGACAGCCCCTCATCAGAGCTAAACAACAAAAGAAATATAAAGCTCCTATGTTTAATAGTTTTTGAGTTATAAGCATTTTTGCATGTCCTGACACCCCCTTTTTGAAAGGAGCCCCCTCCTCACATATGGGGTCTATCATAAAACCGTTGGCTGGCTCAGTGTAGGTCGGACTCATCTACAGTCCTGCCAAATTTCATGTTGACCAGTGCAGCCTTTTTTGTGCTACGGTCATAGGCGTAATTTGCAGGGGGGTTAGGGGGGTTATGACCCCCACAATAATTTGATCCAGTCAAAATAACCCCCCCAATAAAATGACATTTTTTGCTCAAACGCAATAGGAATTAACTGGTTCAGTAGACAGATGCAACTCTCTTGTCTTTATGTTACGTTGACCTGATTAAAAAAAATACAGTGTCATATATCTACGTTTTAAGCATAATTGCTAAAAATGACATGCAGTGTTTTAGAG